ATTGATATTTACAAGCATGATTCTCATCAGTTTTGACATGTGACATTTAATTGCATTCTTTAGCCATTGTCTTACTACTATTGCTAATTTCAGCTTTAGGTGATTTCCCTGGGAAATCCCCCTTGACTTACGTTAGACTAGCTGGTAAAATTGTATTTGTGTGTAAGTAGTAGCAAGATCACAACTCCAAAATGTCTGGTAATTACTAAGCTAGGCAATTGCTATAATTTAGTCAATCCTGCGCCAAAGGATTCTAATCTGTCAAAGTCACATTGAAATGCCTTCAAAAAGACTGTGTACACAATAAGATACACCAATCAATTCACAAAATAAAATGATTTGATCCTTTCATAAGGTTCATTTTTCAATCAGATGTCTATTTGCATTGTTTCATATCCTCATTTGAAGTGATAGTGCAATTAAAATTTATAACCAATAATAACTAAGTCACAATTATAAACAGCACAGCAGTTCAGCTATAAATAACTAAGTCACAGTTATAAACAGCACATGTATAATACAGCAGTTAAGCAGCAGGTGTAGCATCAATAAGGCCAGCGAGGTCCTTGCAAGCATTTGAAAGACCAATTCTTCACTCAGACAGCGTTAGCCTATTTAATGGCTGGCCAAACCTAGGGTGTTACAGTATAGCACAAAAGGATCCATTTCTGCTTGATGCTGCAGCTTTTGCAAAATACTGTATGAAGCTGTCTGGATAAAGAACTGAGCTTTCAACTGCATGCAAGAACTACACTATTGATATGGCATTGGCCTATATCAAAAGAACCAGTAAATAGATAGAATGGCTATTAACACAATGCTCACCTCATATTTCCACCAGGGAGATGTAGCATTCCTTCTGTATCATCTTCAACTTGTGTTGGTTTTATAACTGAAGGCTTACGACGTAAAAGGACGATCACAATGAGTAAAATTAAAATTGCAAAGATGACAAGCACAAGAACAGCTGTGCAGCTTTGACAATCACCATTCATCGCAGCAGAGAGATAATAATAAGAAATTAAATCTACTCATAGGAAGAGAGAGATAATTATGATAAATAGTCACTACCGTGTATACACATTGACTTACAGGATGACGATGGATCAAAGGGTAAATCAAAGTTAGTGAATGCAGCTCGTTTTATATTCCAGTGTAAGTAGGCCACACCTTAGGTACAATGATAGATCGATGACTTTTCTGTCATGTGCTTAGTAAATGAATACTATTTGGATAATAAGATGTTTTTCCTCCAGTCTCACAAACCAACTACTATCCTCCCTCCCTCCTATCACTAAAGATAATTCAAGTCTTGACATTATGTACAAAACTAATTAACTACTCTTGATAATAACAAGAAAGATAATAATTATATTTGTTCACAATAGCTTATTACAGCCTGGTGACTGCATGAAAAAAGTGTGTGCTACTACAGAAAACTATATAAATAATAATATAATTATACTGTGTTTAGTTCAACAACC